TCTGTGTATAGCTTTATAACTCATTTCAGCTGGTAAGAATGTAATTGATTGAGTTATTCTATTGATACTTCTGCCTGAACTTGGTAATCCATGAACTTCTGCATAATTTTCTAGAAAATTCTTTACTACTTCAGCAACATTTTTATCAATCACCATTTTAGTTTTCCATTGAGGCATTCTTTTTATATTTCCATGAACTCTGAGTAAAAGACCATTGTTTATCAGATGATTTCTAATATTTTCAAAGTAAGTTCTACCAATTCCTAACATATTGAGATAAGTTTCTTGACAAAGAAGTGTATTATGATCCCAATGATAAAAAGTTCTTTTGTTAAATCTGGTTTTCTTTTTAAGGCGTCTGCTAGTGTTTATTAATCCACCATCCATTGCTTTAAGTTGGGCTATTAAAAAGATGTCTTGCTCTGATTTAGAAAGAGCTTGAAAGGATTCCCTTAATTCTGCAAAATTTTCCTTGGGAATTCTTGAAGAGCAACCACATTTACAACCTTTTTCTAAAAAATCAATTGCTTTTTGATATTCATTAGAACCATTATATTTATTATTTTTCATATACACTTATCCCTATATATATAATTTTATGTTCACTTTGTAGGTTTTTTAAAATTGAAATGGGGAGAGACTGGGGTATTTGATATTGGTTGATCAACAGATCATATTTAATATCAATAAGATAAATCCATATTCATGGATTTTTATGGCTACCCTTTTTTCATGCAACATTAATTATTAAAATGTAAAGAAGTTTATGCAAAATTAACTTCCTGGTAGTAAAGCAAATATTAAAATAAAGGATTTCTGTTATATTTTAAACAAAGTCTTTTGTATTTTTATAGTCACTAAAAACTCTCCAAGACTCTAGAATGTTGCTTATGCACTATCCTTACTGTAATTTGGAATTTGGAATCTATGTCTTTGAAAATAGTATATTCTAATATCACGGATTTTAAATTGTTAAGGCTTCTGGAAAATCATTCCATTTGTGAAAACATCAAAGGCGTTAGTTGCGAGGTATTCATGGAACACTTCTATGGAGAGAAGCTTTTTATTTTTTATAGTTTTTTGGAGGTTGTAATAGAACAAAGGTGATATTACAAAGAAATTTTTCTTATTGTATTCCAAATGAATTTTTACACAATTAACATTTTTATAACCACCAACTCTCTCCATAGCTCTAGACTACTATATATATATATTATCTTAATTTCGAATTTAGAACTGTATCTTTGAAAATGGGGAAGAGTAGTGATTTGAAAACAACATGTTTTATTATATTTTTACGTAAATTCGGAAATTTTGAAAGCGATATGCCGATCACCAAAAAAAAAAAAAAAAATTGAAATTCAACATAATTAATTAATTGAAGAAAATTTGACAATTTGTTTCACCGTGATATCAAACCCAACCAACCAATAACAATAATAACAATACAACAATGTGTTCCATTTTTGTTGCAAACTGTTTTGTTAAAAGCGTAACTTCCACCAAGAGAACGATCAGTAGGAGCGCGTTGTATAGAAATGATAGAATTTTTAGGGAGATCAGCTTCAAAGGATTCTACGACGAAGGGGGAACTTTTCAAAACATGCGATAGTTGTCCTGATTGGGAGATATGTTGTGGAAAAAGGAGTTGAATATGTAACGACTTTTCCGTTTAACATTTTGAAAAAAAATTGAAAGTTTTTTGTTGACCTTCTAAATTTCCTTTCCATAGGTTACGTTGACCCAAACCGTCATGGTTAACAAAAATATTGAAAGTGAAGAAGATCTACCTTGTCAAGATCCTCTTGTGATATTTACAGATGCTGCGGACAAGGACTATTTTGTAGGAAATGAACGAAGTGGCAATTTTGTTTTGAGGAGAAAGTTGTATAGCCCGTTGACAAAAAGCAAAGTGTCGATTCCGAAGTTTTCGTGACGTACGTAGACGAAAATAATAGGTACAAGCAAATAAAAATAATCTAATCAAATCGATCATTTCGGTCATTGGAAAGTTAAAAATTAGCAGAACGAATAAGCATTTGGTAGCAAAAGAGATAGAGCGGAACTTGGTTGCGGGTGATACCAAATCGTGTAACCAAAGTGGTGAGAATAAAAACGATCAAGAAGAAAAGAATTGGAGCTGATTGAAAAAGTTTTGAAAAAATAAACAAAAAAAAGAAAACGTAATATTTCTTCAACATCTACGATTTCGGCACCTGCTTTCACCACCATCGCTTCTTCGACATCGACACCTTCTTCTTCTCCTCGCCCTCATTCCCTCCTTTCCACGAATACTACTTCCATGAGCGCCAAAGGCAAAGAGCGTGCTTACCTCGAATTGAGCAAGGACATCATTCATGACGAGCAGGAATCTAATAAATAACTAATGCACACATGCACATCTTTTAATTATGAGTCATCGATCGCATGTTGTTCAAAACGTGTGCCTTTTTCTTCAAAACATTGTTGCGTTGGCAATGCGTTTTTTAAAATTGCGAATTAGCTTTTTGTTTTTATTTTTTTTGCGAAAAGATACACGAATTGAAAATAAAAATTGTATGTATATAACGATGATTTGTAAAAAATTGTACCGTTTGCCAAATATATTTGTTGATGCGATGCACGCGATCAGTGATGTAAAAGTAAATAAATAAAATTTTTCATGATTTTTTATTTCAATTTTTTTGTGCAACTGTGTGAAAAATTTTCAATTGTACAACATCCCCCCAATGCTTTTGCTGCCAATCAAACAACTCACTGCAACCTTATTAAACGGCTTGTTGTACATATACCTCTTTTTTCTTTTTTTTTTTTTTACGTATATTTAATTTATTGCAAGGGTATATATGTTTACTAGTTTCGCATAAATAAATGTATAATAAACGATCTTCAGTAGGTATAAGTATAAATGGATAATTGCATAAATGATGTTACACAGGGGATAAGATTATATATCATTGGCTGACTTTTTGATAAAGAAATAATTTGCATCATGTAAATACGATATGTATTTTTTACGTCTGCAGTATTTAACTGCAATATGATTTTTTATTTTATTTTATTTTTTTACTTTAATAAAGTTTTTACTTCATATAATAAAACAAAGATCCTGTGGATGTAGATGTCCATACATATAATTTAGAAAACCGTGTCTTTAGTTATGCTAACACCCGGGATCATATTTCTAGGCATCTTAGGTGTGATTGTTGGATGACGGGAGAAGCTATTCCGTTGAGGTGACACATTTTCATGTTTATTGGAGAACCCATTGTCATTCTTATTGGAATAAAAACTGTCAATACAGCACTGGATAGCAAATAAAAAAATATAAGTGTGTGGAAACTCAAAATTTTGACGTCATCAAAGAAAAAGATTTACCTTGAAAAAAAAAGCTTCTATTATCAACTTTCGTACAAGGTTAAATTCAGAAAGCTTCTGAGCGAGTTTAATCTCGGAGATTTGAAAATACCGTCGTACTCCAAGTCCATTATTCCAAAATAGATATATCCTTCTATAATGTTTTATGAGAAGGTGGATTAAAAAAAAATTGAATCGTAGAAAAAATGCAAAAAGCAGACTTACCACAAATATGTACTCCAAAGGACTTTGCTCCTGGTTTGTTTCCACGCGAAGAAATAATGTTGTTGATGCCTCCCTGGCAAAGAATAGCTACCTTGTAAAGATTGTAACCGCCAATTTTACTGTTCCTTGTAATTGAGAAATTTTTGGCTTCAACAAAACATGTTTCTTCGTATTTATCTCTTTCTACGATTCGATACACAATTATATCAGGCTTTCTACCCTGGGAGCGTCCGTAATTCGCACGGTGGCTTCTTGAAGTCAAACTTTCGGTGTTTGCCCTATTAAAGACAAGTAAAAATAAAAGAATGATAAGCAAATATCAAAAAACTTCAACAAAATGTTTTCTTACCAAGAAATATCATAATTCGGGTCACGAAATATTTCTTTGAAAGTATCATGTACATAATCATGTACAACAGTATCCTCGTTTTTTTTCCTCGAACTCGGATACATGTGCATCCTTTCGTAGCTTGAAGAAGAGATCAGATGGAAAGTTATTGGAGAGAAACAGCAAGGAAAATAAGATTGGAATTAAAGAAACTTACAATGCACGTGCAACTGCTTGCGTGGTTTCAAACAAACATCTCTCATTATCTAAATAAATGACCTTGTCACGATATTTCCCCCATATATCATAAAACTTAGAACGAAGCTCGTCTATGTCATTTATTTCCTATTTTTATTACAAAAGATATTAGATTATTATATTATCATAAATCTGCACACACCAGACAACGTGACACTATACCCTTTCATATTCATCCATAATTTCTCCAAAGAAACTGGGTGGGACTGGTTGTTTTGGTTGACGTACTGAAGCACGCCATTTTCGTTCATCTATATCTAAATACGATGGCTTCTTCATTCTTGTCATGTCAATAAACATAATATGGTGAAGAGACCTGTAATACAAAGATTTTATTAGACAGCCAGATATCCTGGCCTTAATTATAAATGTAAAGTCAACCTATACTTACAAGATTGCCTCAACATCTGATGAAAAATGGAAGGTTTCACCACCTTCTAGTTTATCAATATTATTAATTTGATATTTGCGAAATGCATCTGAAACACTATAACTTTCAATAAACCACTAAAACGAGTAAAACAGATGTAATGGTCAGTGCAAAAAATCTTTTTCTGAAACGGATGCAGATCCAGTGAAAACAGAACGATAAACTTACATCCTTCTGTGAGGAAAGATCACAGAGATCCTGACGTATCTTTATATATGCGTCACGCATCATTTGTTTGTTAAATTCCAGATCAGGTTCGATAGGCGATAATTCAGGATTGTTCTCATTGGTTAACTGCCCCACAATTTCTTCCTCTTCATGAATGATCACTTCTTCCAAATTCGTTTTGTTCGCATCATTAAGAGACTCTGGATCCTTTATGTTGATCGTATCTTTCTTTTTTCTACTTTCTGATGGATAGGAATCTGATTTTCGTTTCAAAGCTATTGTTCATGTCATAAAGAAAGGTAAATGATACATAATTCAACATATAATGTAGATGAGTTTGAATGTACAGTATTACCAGATTTTATAGTTTCACGTGTGGTGTTAGAAAGCGCTTCACTGAAATCATTATGAATGTCTAGCATTTGGTGGATTATATTTTTGGAATTCATATCTGATGCTTTTCCTAATGTTTTCATAACAGTAGAACTATTTTTCCAGAAAGCTTTTACGTTGAACGATTTCGATTCTTTCTAAAGTATAAAAAAAAAATGAAAAATTGATTGCTGTGATACTTTCAGACGCATCTGAAGTAAAAGTACACCCGAACACAGAGACGCATCTCTGAGAGGACTCATCCCCCGGGAATTAAGACTCATCCTAGTACTTTCAGCATTAATAACGGAGCTATAACAAGACACTTCTCTAGACGCATCCAGAGAATCTCAGACGCATCCCAGTCGTTGCTATAGTCCCGGAATAAAACAAATATAAACAAAAAAATTAAGAAAATTTTCAAACCTCAAATGTTTTCAAACATTGCAACGCCAACTGTCTTATTATTATGGATTCATTGCTGTCATTAGTCTCTATTAATTGAGGATTGATAGAAAGTTGCTCCAAACAAATCTTTGAAATCATTTGCATATACGATACTCCACTGTAGAAATTCTAACAGGCTCCATGTTTTGTTCTCTTGAAAGTAAATAAGCCTACATTTCCAACGAGTATTTTCATAGTTAGTCATTGTTTAGTGAAAAACTAAATTTTGGACTTGTAAATTATTCTCTGCAAGATTCTGTCAATGATTTGGTGGGAATTATTATTTTTCAAGGATTGAGAAAATGCATGCATAAAAGCCATATTTGGTTAATTGCCTCATGGTTACAGTAACAATCAGATTGCCGCATGATGCATTGCACAGCCCAATTAATTCGTACGACATACTGATTATACTACAGTACACTCTGAACTTTTTGTAGTTAATTTAATAATATATATATATAAATATAACCGTTTTGCAAAATTACAATAAAAATAAAATAAATAATGTATAACTGCTTTGCAAAAATAACAAATTAGTTAAAAAAAGTATCTAATGTTGTTTGTTGACTTGAATCAAATTCTATTTTTTTAATTTTTCTTTTAAGACTTTTTAATGGTTTAATTTCATTGTTGCTTAGTTGCAACTTTTCAGATTGTTGGTCAATGTATTGTGAGATAGTGAGTGGACTGGAGAAGTCCCGAACATTGTCGATCAATCCAAACCAACTTACTGCGGCAAGTCACGTGATGATTATCAAATCATTTCTAAAATTATTCTAAACTTTTGTGTAACATACTGCGCCACACATTGCGTAGCACAATAATATTGGTAATACGTCAAGTACCAATCATAATTTTATTTCTATTCTTATATTTTATTTATTATTTTTTATATTAGTACTACATTAATTATTAATTGTAGGCATCAATCATATTTTATAATTCATATTTATTACCATATTAATATATTTATATATTATATTCATATTTCTTAATTTGTATAACAAGTAGCTTAGTCAAGACAAACATTATGTCATTATTTACTTTAGATTATCAAAGAATAGTTATACAAGATTGATAAGTAGGAATATATCCTATTGGACATTATAATTGTAGAAGTCATGTTATTTGTAATACCCTAAGAAGTATAAATAGCATTAGCTTTAGACCAAGTTAATAATCATGTTCTAATGTTCTGAATGTTCTTAACATAATAATAATACAACAATAATAATTGTACCTAAATATTATCAATAAAAAATAACACTTTTACAACAAATATCGCTAATTAATAAACTTGACCTTAAATCACCTTTGCTGTAAGAGCAATAACCTTGATAATTAAACCTATCTCCAGGGGGACGCCTTTGAGAGACTATTGGTGCATAATTAAACTGGTGTATTCGATTGCTAGCTTTATAAACTTTATTGCGTAAGGGAAAGCCTGAGAGTAGGTTGATCTAGATAGATAACTGAAAGGTTACTATATTAGTTTCCGTACTAGTTATAGTGCTGTGAAAAAGCCCCCAGCTTTATACGGACTGCGAAACGTATAAGGGTTATACTGAGTGGAACCAGAGGTGACTATTATAGCGACGGACTATATTGGCCTGCGTCATTGCAGTATACATATCTATTGGACAAATCTTTACAGTTGTAAAGTATCTAGGAATCTAGTGTAGATAACTATTACCTTACCAACTCGAAATTGCACGCTCGCAGTATTTGTTTAATTTTTCTATTGCTAATAAAGCTTTAATGCACACATTGTATTTGATTTATTACAATATGTATTATTTTATGATTATAATTTTATTATTTAAGGAATTTAAATTCAACAAAGATAAACAACTTTTGTAATTTTACAATAATTAAATTACCTATTTATCAAAATTGTTAAATAGTTAGTAATAATTATTTGAATGTTTACATCTCTTCATCTCTTCATTGAATAAATTAGACAAATACTAGTAAAAAAACATACAGATTTTTAAAAAAATAAAAAACAAAGGAAAATATTTTAAAAAATTCATTATTAAATAAAACATTAAGTACAAGACCAGTATATAATTTAATAGAATTGGGCTTGAAAGATTATGAGGAAAATGATTTAGTTCTTAGTACCATACACATTTTGATAATATTCTTTGAAATAGATAGTTGTAATTGTAGACATAAAACAAGATAAAAAGATTTAAGATTATGTTATGAAAAAGTAGGATTTAAACGTTTTTTTGAAAGACATCTTGAGTTGTCTGCATTAGAAAAAAATGAATTTGAACTATTTATAAAAGCTCAATTATTGACCTTTAAAATAACATTTGAAAAAGTTGGAAATAGACATAACTATAGGTTTAATTTTAATAATTCATTACCCTTATGTAAGCCTGCATATTTAAAATTATGTGGGATTACTGAGTACATGCTAAAAACAATACAAGATGATTTGCAAAAAAATGGTCTGTTAGAACAAACTCATAAAAATACACATCAAGTGCCTAAAATTAAATCTCATGTTCAAGTTGATGTAGGTCAGATTAATGGTTAAACAATATTTGTTATGGCATGCAAAAATATTTGGGTTGCCATCACCAATACATCACTTTGATGATTCTGATGCATTCATATATCTTTCAACAGAGAAAACATACACTTCTGTGTATGAAGAATTTAAAACCCATTTTTATACTGAATATGAGAATAGGCAAATAATTTCTTATAAAACATTTTGAAGATTATGGCATCAATTGATTCCAAATCTCAAATTTCAAGCTCCAGCAAGTGATCTTTGTGAGACTTGCAAAATGCTTGAAGTAAAAATAGTAGTTTCGAAATCAGATATTGAAAATTATGAAAAAATAAAAAAAGAGTATGAAGAACATCAGGAGAGTGCAAATCATGAACGTATGCATTATAATAATTATATAGAAAAAAGTAAGGCTGATTCATCATTTTTACATATCTGTTATGATTGGTCTCAAAATGTTTCCATCCCATATTCTCTCCAACAAGTTGGATCAATTTATTTTAAAGTATCATTCGCTGTAAATATTTTTGGTGTTTGTAAAATAGGAGAAAAAAATCAACTGACTGAGGAAGTAGAAACTCATTTAGAGGCTTTAGAAGTGGCTGAGGATTGGCATAAAAGACAAAAACAAGAGTTATTGGATAGAATTAAACATTTAGAAGAGGAAAATAAGCAACTAAAAGAGTTAACTCCCCAAGAATTAATAAAAGAAATCAATGATTTAAAATTTCAATTAACCCAATTACAACAGCAAAATGGTCAATTAGTTGCTCAAATTGAAGTTAAAGAAACTAAAAAATGACCTTGATTGAAAATCAAAAATTAACAAAGTTGAAAAAAAAGTAATTATTTGGTTTATCAAGTTATTCTGCCAGTTTTCTTTTTTTTCTTGATTCTTTACTAGAATTTTCTAATACTCTTTTGAAAACTCTTTTCTCTTGATAAATTTCATAGATAATCCTTTCTTTGTCTAAATATGTTTGCAAAGATTTGGTATCTGCTAATTTAAAAATGTAAGGAGCAATTTTTTCACCTTGTTCCTTCTTCAAAATACTTCTAATGGTGCTATAATTCTTGGGTTCCATAGTAGATCTGATATAAATGAGTTTCATCTTAACTATTTTTATACAGGGATAGTTCTATATATCACTTAAGATAACAAATGGGATATTATAAAACTGTTAGTTATGATCACATTACAAATGACTAAATTTTGATCCCTGAAATTCTTGGTAATACCAATGTTCACTTTGTCTGATTTTGTTGCAGTATGCCCCATTTAATATTTTAGAAATTTAGACAAAATAAATCAGAGCTATTAGCAAAGAGTCAAATACATTAAGTGCTTAGTGATTTTATTTTTATTTTTTAAAAAAATGATTTTGGTATAAGAATAATGATAAAATACTAAACCTTTTTATTTATAATATCTATATTTTATTAATACAATTGCAAAATTTAAAGTAATTTTAACCATTAATTATCAATTTATTATATTTTTTTTGTTATTCTAATTACTTTTTTTTCATTATAAACCAAATTACTTATTTTTATTTTTTTGTTTTTGTATATATCTTAGCATTTAATAGTTCAATTTAATTAAACTTTTTTTATTTTGTAATGCTTAATTAGAGCTATAAAATAAAAAAAATAATTTATATAAACAAAATTACTAAATATTAAGAAAATTGTGTTTAATATTTAACATTATCTATTTTATTTTATTTTTTTTATTTTAATTGAAAAGTTAAATATAATGTAAGAAAATAAAATAAAGTACTAAAATTTTTTACATATAATATTTATATAGTTAATAATAAAATTATAAGATTTGAAACAATTTTAATTATAAATTATTGAGTTATTACAATTTTTACAATTCTAATTACTTTTATCTCACATTATATATAGTTTATAGAATAATCTATATATAGTATATATATAATATATATATATATATATATATAAAATAAAAAATTAAAAAATTCAGATTTTTTAGTAATATTAATGACATTAATAATATTTGTTAAAAAGTTTTTTTAATCTAAAATTCTTAAAATATACATTGTTTATATTACTAATATTTGTCATCAGTTTTTCTAGTAATATTAGTAATAAATTGTATTAATTTGTATTACTTTTATTTGCATTTATTTTACCTACTATTACTTGTATTAAAGTTAACTTACTTAGCTTTTTCTGATAATACTATTTTATTTTATAATACTTTCTAATATAAATGTTATAAGTACTATATTTAAAAAATGTTAATTTCTTACATTTATTGTAAGATACATGTAAAGGAGAATTCTAATAAATTTAGCATTCATCTAACTGGTAGCATTTCTGATTGCAAATTTTACTAATTCTAATAATATAAGGATATTAATAAAATACTATTTGATACTTTTCTATTACTTTATATCTTTAATTATATATATATTAATTTTATATTTCAGAATTATTTTTATTTTAAATTTTTTCTTTCAGATAATATAGTTTTTTCTCAAATTATATTTTGTGATATAATATCACTTTTCAGAATTTTTTATCTTATACTATTGTAAGTTAAAAATTATAGATATTGGTACTTATCTATATAAAATTCATAAT